GGGAAGGCAAGTTACAGCCGGGCCCCCCACGCTTCCTCGGCCATTTTGCACCAGGTCACTACCCGTCGGGGAGAAGACAAGGGAGGGAGGGAAAGCAGTGGCGGCTCCGGCGGCGGCCCGCCTCCCTCCCCTTTCTTCCTCCCCCTTTTTCGGCCGGGGCGGGTGGGGGGGGGGGGGGGGCAGCGGCAGCAGTGCCCGCCCCAATTGGGAGCCGAGGAGGAGGTCGTCCGCTTGCCCCTCTTTGGCTGCTCCTCCGGAGAGAGGCCTGGCCGGGTCAGGCCGGGTCTGAGCCCCTCTTTTCTCCGCCCGGCGGACTGTCTGCTTCCTTCAACCCAAGCTCAACAGGCCCTGAAGCGGAGAGCGATCGGCGGCGCTGGCGACGGCAGAGCGCCTCCGCCTGCTGCCGCTGCCTGTGTTTCCAGCCAGACGGCCGTCTCCGAGTTTGCTTTGCCGCCCGAGAACCCAGAGGGACAAAAAGCAGGCGGTGAGAGATCCGCCGCGAACGTGAGAATGAACCACCAGCGGCAGGCAACGAAAATGTCTGCCTCCCCGCCGCCGGTAGCCGGGGAAGAGCATTTGACGGGCCGGCGAAGGAAGCTGGAGTCCATGATCCGGGACCCCCGATCTCCGGTCAATGTGGAAAGTTTGTTGGTGAGTTCAGCTGATGGCGCGGGCGGGGGTGGTGGTGGCGTGATTAGAGAAAAGTGCAGAAAAAAGATCTGAGATTGAGGGCAAGCAAGGGTTCGGGAAGAACTGTATCTCCTCTGGGTGTTTGGAGCGACGTTACTTAGGAGGATGCAGCTCCCGCGTTTTCAGTGACTTGGGAAAAGAAGAGGGAATGGCTCAGTGCTTGGGTGGGAAGACGGGAGCCTGCTCCCACTTTTGCTTTGGAAGCATTGGGCGGGGAGAGGAAGATGTAACTAACCAGTACAGTTTCTCAATATGGAGAGTTTGAAGACTCTTCTGACTGGATGGCTGGAGAGAGAGTTAACTATTTCATGTACGTTTGTGTCTAAAACACAATGCCCATCCTTTGCTCTGCCCCTTCCCTGCACTTGGAGACTCTCAACACTGAAGGAATTTTTATCTGAGAGACTGGATTGAGTGGACAATAAAGAACACTTTTTTCTCACAGAAGTGTGTTTAAATGATTAAAAGGGGAAGGGGTGGTCCTACTGAAGGATTGTGCCCCTTCTCTCTCCACCCCCTGAAATAAAGTAAAATGCCATTGAGAGTATTGATAAGAGGCTAGGACTAAGAACATTATGTACAGTGAAACAGTGATTTGCACAGTGTGGGGTTGTGGAGAATTTTGGGAGTCAAAACCTAGGAGACTTTCTGAGAGTTCTTAAAATCATGGCAGGTTTTGTTCAATTATTTAGACATTGTCCATTTTAAAGCTGCTTGTATTGAGAGGTCAGTCTTTGGCACTAATTTTTCAGTGTCATCTTTGATCCTTTTTCAGTGATGCTGTAGTGAACTTGATTTCTGTTAATGGGAAACTAATGTTGACTTAACTTTTTGCATGCAGTATGAAGATACTGTTTAGAAATTATGGTCATACTTGATGAAACAGTGTATCTTGGGAAGGTAGATTCAGTAGGAATGATTAACTTTATTAGGTGCACAAAAATGAAGAGAAACTTTCTCTGTGGATTTTTGTGTACAAAGAACACTTGATTTCCACTAGAAATCTTATTAAGGAATACAGGTTTGAGATTTTTCTAGTTCTAAATGTGAAGTAATGAGAGGTAGAGTCAGCATGCTGCCTATAGTTTGAGATAGCAATGACCTCATGCCTACAGTTGCAGAAAGAGGAATGGGATTTTGTTTTTTTCCAAGAGTTTTATCCTGCAGGCATTTTTTTTAAGGGGGGGGAGAGAAGTAGCTGGAGTCATTTGTAAAAATGACTCAGTTCTGCTTGGCCAGAATACAGGAACTGACTAAACAATATGTGTATCTCTGTGCTACAGCAGTGTATGCTTGCTACAGACTCTCCAGGATAGCATTTACCAATCTGGTTCTTTCCTGTAGTGTTGGTATTATAAGGTTCAGAATTCTTACTCAGCATAAGAAGAGCCCCGCTGGGTCAGGGCAGGGCCAGTCCAGCATTTTTTTTTCCACAGTGGCCAGTCAGATGCCTTTGGGGTGCTTGCAAGCAGGAGATGGAGACATACTATTCTCCTCCCATTGTTTCCTTGCAGCTGGTATTTGGAGGCATATTTTCCCCAACTTAGAGTTAACAATGGCTCTAACAGTGGACCAAGCACTTGATTGATTTGTCCTTTATGAATATATCCAATCCTCCTTTAAAATCATCTAGGTTTGTAGCCCTCGCCATGTCTTGTGGCACTGAATTCCACAGGTTAATTACAGTGGGGCAAAAAAGTATTTAGTCAGCCACTAATTGTACAAGTTCTCCCACTTAAAAAGATGAGAGAGGCCTGTAATTTTCATCATAGGTAT